TAAAGACAGGATCTCAAGCAGCCCTGATTGGCTTCCAACTTTGTATGCAACATGCCTGACCTAGAACTTGTGATCTTTTGATTTAGAAAGGCTAGCTTTGAACTGCTGGTCCTCCTGCTCCATCTCCCAAGTGCTAAGCTTATAGGCGTGTACCACCTGGACTCATTTGTTTGTATGTATGTGTTTATGTATGTAAGTATGTATTGCTTTTGAGAAGACAGTCCCTCTCTGTAGCTCATGTTGGCCTGAAACTCCTGGTTTAGCTTTTGAAGTGCTAGGATTACAGGTTTGAGCAACCGCGGTCAGCTAAGCCTCTTTGAAAAATGCTACCATGGGCCTTGTGGTGGTGGCGCACACCTTTAATCCTATCACCCATGGGAGGCAGAGGCAGGTGGATCTCTGTGAGTTCAAGGCCAGTCTGGGCTACAGAGCGAGATCCAGGACAGCCAGAGCTACACAGAGAAACCTGTCTGGAAAAAAACAAAAAACAAAAAAATGCTACTGCAGCCTGGGCCTGGTGGCATAGTCCTCTTTCCCCAGCATGTGGGAGGCAGGAGATTACAGTTCAAAGCCAGCCCAAGCTATAGACCAAGGTTCTGTCTGAAGAAACCAACCAATCAACAATCACCAAGCTCTCCTGGGTTCTGAGGTTGTCTTGTCTGTCCCCTCAAGAGTAGTTGCTCCATCGTTTTCCCACTGTCTTTCAGTACGATGCGGGAGACCATGAAGTATGTCTATGGACACCATGGGATTCGGAAAGGACTGTACCGTGGCTTGTCTCTGAACTACATCCGCTGTATTCCCTCGCAAGCTGTGGCTTTCACAACCTATGAACTTATGAAGCAATTTTTTCACCTTAACTAAAAGAAAAAATTACCACTTGTGATGGTTTTCCTCAGTAAATTCTCAGAGGGAAATATATATATAAATGTTACCTTAATTGTGAGGGAGACATTACTTGAAGAGGACATTTGCCCTGTCACAGGAACCACTGGGGCTCTAATACTTGATTTCTGTTGGATTTTAAATCATAGATCGAAAGTGCTTAGCATAATGTTTTGTTTTCTTTTTGATGGGATCTAGATATGTAACCCTGGCTGGCTTGGAACTCCCTGTGGAGACCAAACTGGCCTAGATTTGTGGCAATCCTCCTGCCTCTGCCTCCCAAGTACTGAGATCTCCGGCATGTGCCACCATGCCTGCTCTGACATACTTTTTAATGGCAAACATTATACCTTAGAACCCTGCAAAACCATCTTATGCTGAGGGTGGTCACTGCTGGTTATTTTAAAGTACTATTTGGAAGGAGAGGTGGGTTCGTATTGGAATTCAAGAGATTGTCATTGGTTCCACCACACGATTCCAAACTTCATTGTAATTGTGGTCATGGAGGCGGGGAGGGACAGGAATCAAATCCAGGGCCCTTTGCATGCCAGGCACAGGTTGTCCCCCACTATGCCACACCCCCAGCCTGTAATTATGATTGTCTTCTCTCCCTCAGTGCTGAGGGAGTTGAGCCCAGGGCCTTGCATGTGCAAGGCAAGCACCATACCACTGAGCTACATTCCTGACCCTTTTCTTTTTTAGCGATGTGCTGGGATCAAACTCATGCATGCTAATTGCACCCCACCAATGGCCTGCACCCCACCAATGGCCTGCACCCCCAGCCCTCTAACACTGCTTGTTATCCCCCGACTCTCCATCCTTTCTTTCCTTGTGCTGGGGAGTAAACTCAGGGTCTCTCTCGCCTGTCTTGCTAGATAAGCGCTCTACCTCTGAACTACGTCTCCAGCATCTGACCTTGTGTGGTGTTATGAAAGTCAGCAGACTCAGTTTAATTGTAGTGGAATGAGAAGTGAATATCTGGGAAACATAGCTAGCAACAAAGTAGTGTTCTTGTTATGTTTCTTCTCAGAGTTCTGCTCCAGTTGATAAAAGGACACCTTTTCCTCATTGATTTGAGAAGTTTTTCTTTATTTTTATTTTCCTCTCTTTGGGGATTGAATCTAGGACCTCGTACATGCCAGTCAAGTGGTGTACCCTACCACTGAGCTACATCCTCAGCTCTCTTCATTTCTCAATACAATTGGTCTTGTCTTAAAAAGGAGAGACTTAATCAGGTTTTGTTCAAATGCTGTTACCAGGTACTTTGATTTTCGTGAGTTAAAAAAAAACCACTGTATTTCTCAAAGGCAGTAATAATGAAAATTAAATATCTTTGCTCTTAAAAGGAGAATAGCATTGTAGATGTTTGTCTTAAATCACTTGATGTGTACTAGAAAATTTAAGTGGACCATGAATATAGCTGAAGCAATGTTTCCAAGATACTATGTCAATATACAAGTTCTTCCATGTACAGTACGTTTAGTGTGTCATACTTCTAAGTGTAAATATAGAACACGCTCTGATTGTTACATTTTAAAGAAAGTTGTTTAGAGTATAAGAATCCTGATCATTGTGTTTAGAGCCCTTTTCTCTTTTGTTGTGAGCATGACAGATGGAGTAGCAGCGGTGACCGTCTGTCTGTCCGTAGAGGTGGGGCTTTGTAGAGCCGATGTGAGCTGTAAAGACTTTAAATATAAGCTGCTAAGGTTATTTCTGCATTTTTTTGCGCATAAAGATTTCTTGTCATATCTTGGTAAAAATTGGATGAATTAGTTTCATTTGTGTAATCTTTACTTTAAAAATGAACATGTACTTTGTGACTTGAAGTATACCGGGAGTGGGGATACATCTGTTTATAAAGCTCTTTTGTATATTTTCATTTCTGGACCACACTGTAGCTAATTATTCCATTCAATCTTAAGGTAATTTAAACCTATAAAATAAATATCTCAGTTATATTATCAATAAAAGAGAATGAAAATATTTTTTAAAATAAGAAATTGCATTCTATGTCTTATAGAATCCGTAAGATATTAAAAGTAATTTTTTATCCTTGTTTTGATGGTTTCCTTTATTTACTTATCATCTGCGGAACCTGAGATCAACCTGAAGGCTTTGCACATGCTAGGTGAACACTTTACCACTGAACTGGGTCCCCAGCCACTCTAGTTAGTTGTTAGTTAGTTTTATTTTTTCTTATGTATTTAATATTATTTTATGTGTATGAGTGTTTTGCCGGTATGCATGTCTGTGCCCCACAGACATGCCTGACATACCAAGGAGATCAGAAGCAAGACACTGGATCCCCTGGAACTCAATTATAGGTTCTTGTCAGCTGGCATGTGGGTGCTGAGTATCGAACTGGAGTCCTCTGGAAGAGCAGCCTGTGTTCTTAACTATGAGCCATCTCTCCAGCCCCTTATTTCTTTTCTTTTCTTTTTTTTTGAAGCAGTCTCTTTATGTAACCCAAGCTGGCCTGAAACTCAAAATCTTCCTGCCTCAGCCTCTCCTGTGCTGGGGTTGCAAGTATGTGCCACCACATCAGGTCAATACCTTTCTTTTTAAATATTTGCATTATTATTTTTCGAATGTTTACATCATCATCATCATCATCATCATCATTATCAATTATTTATTTTGGTTTTCTTGAGACAGGGTTTCTCTGTGTATCCCTGACTGTCCTAGAACTCATTAGGTAGACCAGGCTGGCCTCAAACTCACAAAGTTAAAGGCGTTTGCCATCACCGCCCAGCTTTAAAGGCCTGCATTATTGAAGGAAAAATGTTAAATATGAAATATCAGAATGAGAGGGCTGGGGAGATGGTTCAGGTGACAAACAGCTTTGTAACCTACTTTTCAGATTCCTAGCTCCCACATAAGAGCCAGGTTTAGTCATAGACCCGGTCTCATAAAATAAAGTGAAGAGCCATAGGAGGCACCCAGTGTCCAACCACTGGTCTCCCACCCACTCCCACACGCACACATACAGGCACGCACACATGCTCAGAAATCAGAGTGAAAGAACGTTAAAATTAAAATGGCATTTATTTATTTATTTATTCATTCATTTATTTATTTATTTATCGAGACAGGGTTTCTCTATGTAGTTTTGGAGCCTGTCCTGGATATCGCTCTGTAGACCAGGCTGGCCTCAAACTCACAGAGTTCCGCCTGCCTCTGCCTCCAGAGTGCTGGGATTAAAGGCGAGCGCCACCACCGCCCGGCTAAAATGGCTTCTTTGAAAAGAAAGTTTTAGACTTATCTTTTTAAAAAAAAATTTATTTTGCCTTTTGTGTGCCTGTGAGTGTGTATGTGCACTATGTGTATAAGTGTGCCTTTGGAGGCCGGAGGAGGGCATCAGATCCTTTGGAACTTGGATTATAGGGAGTGGGAAGCAGCCAGATGTGAGAGTGGGAAGCAGCCAGATGTGGTACTTACTGGACGCTAAACCGGAGTCCTCTACAAGAGCAGCAGATACTCTTTAACCACTGAGCCATCTCATCTCTCCAGCCCTGTGTGTGTGTGTGTGTGTGTGTGTGTGTGTGTGTGTGTGTGTGTGTGTGTGTGTGTAAACAAGTCCCCTTTACCAGCTGCATGAAAAGGGGGCATGGTGATCACTGCAGACCGAAGCAGGGGATTGCTGTGAGTTCCAAATGTTTTCTTTTTTTTTTTCTTTTTTTTTTTTTTTTTTTTTTTTGGTTTTTCGAGACAGGGTTTCTCTGTGTAGCTTTGCGCCTTTCCTGGGACTCGCTTGGTAGCCAAGGCTGGCCTCGAACTCACAGAGATCCGCCTGCCTCTGCCTCCCGAGTGCTGGGATTAAAGGCGTGCGCCACCACCGCCCGGCCCAAATGTTTTCTTAAGCTGGGCTTGGAGATCCCTGCACTTGAAAGCCGGAGGCGGTGCTGTGAGTTCCAGGCCAGCCTGGGATACTTGAGACGCTGTCCCAAATCTAAAACACGAAGCGTGCGAGCCCGGCAGGCCACGTCAGGCACACACCCCCCCCCCCCCCCCGGAGGCGGGAAGGCGGGAAAGCGGCTCCGGTCCCGCGCGGAGCTTCCCGGCACTGCGAGCGCGGGAGCCGCTGGCGCGCGGGGCCCCTCCTGCGCATGCGCACGGACACCGGCGCGTCCCGGGCGCTACGGGTTCCAGGCGCCGCGGCCGCCTTTCGTAGCCGCCTCTCCCGGCGGCCCTGGCAGGGATGGAGCCGCTGGACGAGCTGGACCTGCTGCTGCTGGAGGAGGGCGGCGGAGCGGAGGCCGCGCCGCGGGCGGAAGTGTGAGTGAGCGGGCGAGCGGGCGGGCGCCAGGTCTGAACGCGGGCGGACCGGCGCAGTCTTCCCTGGTTTTAGCCGGAGGGTTCCCCTCATCGGCGACTGTTAATTTGGACCTGGTCTTGGGTAGCCCGGGCTGGCCTTGAACTCGCTCTTTTCCACACCGCAGCTCACCAGTGTCATTAATACATTGCATTTTATTATTATTATTATTATTTTTTTTTTATTTGGGTGCGTTGACCCGCTGGTGGGTCTTCTTTCCTTGCACGTGGGACCGCGGGAGCGAACTCCGGTCTTGCCAGCAGGCCGGGTCATATTATTAATTTACGTGTTTATGTGCATCTGTCTGATTTTAGAGGCATCTCCTGGAGCTGGAGTTACAGGCAGTCGTGAGCTGTCCGAGGCGGGTTCTGGGAATTGAACTCAGGTCCTTTCTGCAAGAACAATTCGTGTCCCTAACCACTGGGCCGTCTTCTCCAGGCCAGTGTAACTTTTAGGAGCTCCTGCAGGCGTCACCACCTACCTCAGGAAACCCTTGGTGTGAGGCTAAGTAGGGGTGTTCAGTGATACATTTCCAAAACAATGGGTTGTGCAGCCAGCTGGGGTGATTGGTAGGGGAAGGAGGAAGGCATTTTTTTTTTTTTTTTTTTTCCGATTTTTCGAGACAGGGTTTCTCTGTGTAAAAGTCCTAGTTGTCCTGGAACTCACTCTGTAGACCAGGCTGGCCTCGATCTCACAGAGATCCCCTTGCCTCTACCTCCAGAGTGCTGAGATCAAAGGCGTTTGCCAGCATGCCTGGTAGCATTTGATGTTTTAACCGGAGAGTGTAGGTGACTTGTTAGGGTTATGGAAGCCCGACCAGAAAGATGGGAGAAGAAAAGGGGTGTCACTTTAAAGAGTAGTTTGCATGGTTTCAGTATTGGGAAGCTGATCTGGTCATTCTAAATAGACATAAGAAACTCCTGAGTTAGTGTACAGAAGTGAGCTCCTCTGGCGGGTAATAACCCTGCTTTCTACTGGGATGTGATGGTTGGCTCAGAAGCTGCTGTTAATGACTCCAGCTACTCAAGGGGCCTTGGAGTGCTTCAGACCCAGAGTTGAGACCAGCCTTGACATCAACAGAGACCCTTTCCTGGGAAGCAGAGGGGGAGTTTGCTTCCTTTACAAGGAGAGGGAGGCAAGGACCTCTTCCTGCATCTGTGGTATGTTGGACTAGATTTCTTTAGTGGTGCTGGAGGAACCAACACCTGGTATGCAGTAGGCCTAAGCCCCCTGATGCTGTAAAGATTAGGATGATTGGCAGCTCCCGGCAGGAATTGCGGTGAACCCCCCATGCTGCTCTCTCTCACCAACCCCCTCTTTCTTTCCAGCAGTAATGGGGATGAGGCACAGGCTGGCACGCGGGTGCTGTGCCACTGAACCGTGTCCTGCCCAGCATATCAGTTATTTGGAAACGTGTTCAACGTATCTCCTTTTAGGTGTACTTTGTATAGGCTTTCAGCAGTAGTAGAAACCTGTTCCGACATTTTCCAGGTTCCGGGTTTTAGGGTAGCCCGGGGTAGCCTTGAATTGAGATGTATAGCCCAGCCCAGGATGGCCTTGACCACTTCCTAAGTGTTCTGTTGCTGTTGTTTATACAGCGGGCACATTTTGTAGATAAGGCTTGTGTGGTAAGAGGTAGGAGTGGCCCTAGAGCCCCAAGAGAAAGAAAAGCAACAGACAGCCATGTGGGTGATAGATGTCCAGTCCAGGTAGTTGAGAGTTGGGTACTCTCCCGTGTGTGAAGACTGACCATATCTGCCCTGCAAACAACCCTGCCCCCAGCCTCATAATCATTACTGTCTACTGGTTAAAAATACCAATCACAATGTATGTAGCCATGTATAGAGGACAAAGCCAGGAATGTGTAAGAGCACAATCCTGTGCTATTGGGAGCTCTTTAGCCTTTTGGTATGGAATCTCTAGAGATACACTGCTTCCCTACGGCAACTTGGGTGTCTCATTCTTTGGTTTGATCTCTTGAAACACTTGTGGGAGTCCCCCTGCCTCAGCCTCCCAAGCCCTGGGTTTACAGGTTTGAGCCATCATGTGCAGTTCGCTTATTATTTCATGTTATGTTTTATTTTTATTTTTATTTTTTATTTTTTTGGTTTTTCGAGACAGGGTTTCTGTGTGTAGCTTTGCGCCTCTCCTGGAACTCACTTGGTAGTCCAGACTGGCCTTGAACTCACAGAGATCCGCCTGGCTCTGCCTCCCGAGTGCTGGGATTAAAGGCGTGCGACACCAATGCCCGGCTCATGTTATGTTTTAAAAGGAGAGAAGTCACTTTTTGTTTTGAAATGGTGCTTCATGTAGTCCAGGCTAGCCCAGACTCCCTATGTCTCTAAGAATGACCTGGTTCTGCCTGTCTTCCCAAGTGCTGGAATTACGGGCATCAGCCACCACACTCAGATACTTAGCCTACTCAAGTGCTGGGCAGCAGATTGACCCCCAGGCTTCGTACATGTTTGGCAAGCACTCAATCAACCGAGCCTCAGCCCTGGTCTTTATAACAAGAATTCTTCCCCCTGTGCCTTTGTTCAGTTTAAGGTTTTCAGGGGAAGAAGAAAAAAAAAAAACACTTAAAAAACTAGAAAATTGGCTTCCAGATAGTCCAGTCAATGGGCTCTTATGTTTCCGCTTTTAGAGTTCAGAGGAAGGTGGAAGCGTTCTTTCCTACGACGGTTCTGAGCCGAGGAGAGGATAACCGGTACCTGGTGCTAGCTGTCGAGACTGTACAGAATGAGAGAGGGGATGAAGAAAAACACCTGGTCATCACGGCGTCTCGGGAACAAGAGCACCAAGAGCTGTGCATCCTGAGGAATGGCTGGTGAGCGGCACCTGACTTTGAGCAATGATTTGGTGGTCTGGTGGTGCTTTGATTTTGCTTGTTTTCTGATACAGGGTCTTGTGTGGATTAATCATTTTTTTTTTTTTTTTGTTTTTGGTTTTTCGAGACAGGGTTTCTCTGTGTAGCTTTGTGCCTTTCCTGGGACTCACTTGGTAGTCCAGGCTGGCCTCGAACTCACAGAGATCCGCCTGGCTCTGCCTCCCGAGTGCTGGGATTAAAGGCGTGCGCCACCACCGCCCGGCTGGATTAATCATTTAAAAGGAGATAGAGATAGTTCAAGAGTAACCGTGCCTGCCACCAAAACTGACCACCAGAGTTTGGTGCCTGGGACCCACATAGTGGAAGAAGAGGACAGACAGACCACCCCACCCAACACACGCCACAAAATAAATATGTTAAGCCAGGCGGTGGTGGTGCACGCCTTTAATCCCAGCACTCAGGAGGCAGAGGCAGGCAGATCTCTGTGAGTTCAAGGCCAACCTGGGCTACAGAGGGAGTTCTAGAACAGCCAGAGCTACACAGAGAAACCCTGTCTCAGGGGAAAAAAAAAATGTTAAAAAAGACAAAGAATAATTCTTTTTTTTGGAGCCTGTCCTGGAACTCCGTCTGTAGACCAGGCTGGCCTCGAACTCACAGAGATCCGCCTGCCTCTGCTTCCCAAGTGCTGGGATTAAAGGCGTGCGCCACCACCGCCTGGCCAAAGAATAATTCTTAAGGGAGGGAAAAAGGAAGGTTTGAGAGATGGCTCAGTGGTTAAGAGTACCTGTTGCTCTTGCAGAGGTCCTGGGTTTGGTTCCCAGTGCAGCTCACAACTGCCTGTAACTCCAGGGATCTGAGACTCTCCGGCCTCCTTGAGCACTGCACACATGTGGTGCACATACCATCAAGCACGTGCATATGCACCTAAATAAAATGATAATAAAAATTTTAAGACACGAGGAAGATTTGCCGGCTTATTGAAAGTGTGGCCTTCGCTCCAGCATCATAGTTCTTCTGTGCGCCGAACTGACAATCTGATCTTCATTTTTTAAAAAAATTTTATTTAAAAATTAAAAAAACAAAACAAAACATTGTGGTATGTGTATGACTGTTTTGCCTGCATGTGTGAATGTTCATACACCATGAGCGTGCCCGGTACCCGTGGCGGCCAGAAGAGGGTTTTGGATCCCCTGGACTTGGAGTTACAGATGGTTTCGAGCTGCAGTGTGGGCACTGGGAGCTGAACGAGGGTCTTCTGCAAGGGCAGGTAGTGCTCTTCACCACAGAGCTGTCTCTTTAGTGCCCCCACTTAAATGAGGTTTAGAAATATTTATTCTTCAGATGAAACACTCAATGCTTCTGGGTGTGTTGACCTGTGGGAACCTGGATTTTACGTTTCTGCTTCACCCTTGCCTTTTCTCAGGTGTTCAGTCCCAGTAGAGCCGGGGGACATCATTCACCTGGAGGGGAACCGCACATCTGAGACGTGGGTAATAGATGACGACTCTGGATATTTTATTCTGTACCCAGACCTGTTGATCTCTGGCACAAGCGTCGCCAGTAGTATTCGGTGTGTGAGAAGAGCTGTCCTGAGCGAGACTTTCAGGGTAAGCGACTTCCGTCCGTGTTTCCGTGGTGTTTTCCTCTGCTGTGCGGAGGGTGGAGTCCAAGGCCTTGCTCTGCCGCTGGGGTCTGTCTTCAGCCCCTCGGGAACCTTTCCCGCTCACTGTTCAGTCCTCAGCAGCTGCCTTCACAGAGGGCCAGCACACTGAGAGCATTGTGTGACTGGCCGGTGTCACGTACCTGGTAACTGCAGCGTTGTGACTCAGACCAGGCATCTGGTCCTTTGAACTGAAGTTCATTTAGCGTTTAATAGCAATGCTGATCTCTGAGGGTGCATGACTACATCCAGCCCCCCAAACCCCCACCGTTTTTGTTTTTTTTTTTCTTCTTAAGCTCAAGGACAATTTTTTTTAGATTGAAAAGAAAAATTTGGGGTGGGGGTGGGGGCGCGGGGAGAGGCAAGCTGTAAATGTCAGCAGCTGCCCAGAAGGAGGGAGAGAGAAAGCCATGCTGTTTGAGTTAGGCCAGTGAGGAGGCCAGCCACATGCTAGGCAAGCGGCGTCCAGATGGGGTAAGGGACTTGAGGAAAATGATGGCACCCAAAGTGTTACAGACGGCATGACGAGACGGAGATGGAGGGAAAGAGTGGGCGGGGGCGGCGCATGCCTTTGATCCCAGCTCTCATGCTCGGGAGGCAGAGGCAGATGGGTCTTTGAGTTCGAGGCCAGCCTGGTCTACAAAGTGAGTTCCAGGATAACTTGGGCTACACAGAGAAACTCTGTCTCAAAAAACAGACAAAAAAAACAAAAAACCCCAAAACAAAAAAAGAAAAGGAAAAGTTACATTTCTGTGGGTAATTCAGAGAAGTAAGTAAGCGAACCGTGAAGCTGCACATCTCCTTTGTAGGCTTCTGCCTTTGAAATATATGTTTATTAATTCTTTGAGAATTTCATGTGATGTATTTGATCATCTTTACTCCTCCCAGATCCGCCTTGTGTTCTTTTTTCCCCCCTTTTCCTTTAATGACCCACCACGTCCAGTTTGTGCTCGCCTGTCCTTCTACCCCCGGGTACAAAGCCATCAGTGGAACTCAGTCAGCCTACGGGGAGCCACACCCCTAAGGAACACTGACTCTCCCTTCCCCAGAAGCCATTCACTGCCAATGTCTTCTCAACTAGGGGAGGGGGCTCATGAGTTCCAGTCAACTTTTAAGAGAGGGCACAGTGAAACCACTGAACAGGACCACCCCATGGGTAGAAAGAAAGGTTTATTTGGGGCATATTCAAAGCTGCCTTGGCTGTCTTGGAGGATGGCATCTGGGCTGGATGAGCAAGAGAGTAGCAGGAAGCTGGGAAAGTCTTGGTAGTTCTAAAGAGACAGGTGTTGGGGCAGGAGGAAGCTTGTATGCACAGGAACGGCCTGAAAGTTGGGGGGAGGGAGGAGATGTTTGTGAGCCAAAAGAGCCTGGGAGCTACCTGGTAACTGTGGTTTGTGTTACAGGTATGTGTCGATAGGGGACTGGATACCCCCTTGCTGAAAGTAGGCAGCTATAGGGGTAGATAAAGGAGGTAATGACTTTTCCTGAAAAAAAAACAGAAACCTGATTGACAAGTTTTTAAGGAATGCTGATGTAGCTAGAGTTTTCCTGCCTGGCCCACAGTCAGGACAAATCTCTCTCACCCGCCAGTCCCAAGCCGCTTAAACCCGATCAAATAAACACAGACACTTACATTGGTTTCAAACTGTATGGCTGTGGCAGGCTTCTTGCTAACTGTTCTTACAGCTTAAATTAATCCATTTCTATTAATCTATACCTTGCCACGTGGCTTGTGGCTTACCGGTACTTTACATCTTCCTTATCCTGATGGCGGCTGGCAGTGTCTCCTCTCCCAGCTTCCTGTTCTCTCAATTTTTCCTCTCTGTTAGTCCCGCCTATACTTCCTGCCTGGCCACTGCCAATCAGTGATTTATTCATTGACCAATCAGCAACACATTTGACATACAGACCATCCCACAGCACCTCCCCTTTTCTTTTCTTAAAAAGGAAGGTTTTAACCTTTACATATCTCCAAAGTCAGCTTGGTATATTTGGGAATTTGGGCGTAGCTTTTCTTACTACTTCCTGCTGGAGGGGGGCGCTGTTTCTTCTGGGGAAACAAAGAAAATTTTAGGATCATGGAGTAGTCCGTGAGGCTGTATCATCTGAGCCAGTTGCCTTGAAACGGTTCTGGATGTTGGATCATCTGAGCCATGGTGTCATCGGAGACCTTTCAGGGGGTCTTGGCTGGTCAAACCTGATGTATCTTAATCTGGAACAAATCCATAGCCTCTGGCTTTCTGTGGAAAGAAAAGCAGAGTCTCCTTTCCAAAGCAACATATCCTTATATCCAAATTTTGAAGTCAAGGTATCTTTAAAATATACGTACTGGTTTAACTCAGCTTCCTTTACAATCAAACATCTCTCTGTAGTTAAGAATCCCAAAGACAACACAATCCAGACTCTCTGTGTAATAGTCATCTCTACGTGGCTTATTTTTTATATTAATTTTACTGTCTCTTTAAAGACTTTATTTTTTAAAACCATGTATTTGTTTCTATACTGTATATATCACCTTTTTTTTTGTCTCTTTTAAGCCTACGTATATTTTACACACATTTTAAACTATTACATCTGAATCTGTCTTATTGTGAATCTATTGCTTTAAGCTGCAGCAGCTGTGGCTGCTGGCTCCGCCCACCTCAGCTTCCCAACATGGCGTGGTACTTTACCGCCAGCTCTGGGAGCCATCGTGGGTCTATGCTTTTATCCAAGCAGCGTGTAGCCCAGAAAACTCTTTTGTTTTGTACTAGCAAAAGCTAAATCCACAATGCAGCTTAATGTGCCACTTGCAAAGGCCCCACTCCCGCCATATGGCAGGTCGAGCGCACACGCTAGGAACCCGCCAGTAGCTCAAACCGGCAGCTGCCGCTCATTTGAGAGAGACAATTAGGAACTGTTTTTAGCTCCGTTTTAGAATCTTTTTTCTCAGTTTTTAGGTGGAAACTCTTGCCACCACGTTGGACGCCATTTGTAGCTAGAGTTTTCCTGCCTGGCCCACAGTCAGGACAAATCTCTCTCACCCGCCAGTCCCAAGCCGCTTAAACCCGATCAAGTAAACACAGACACTTATATTGGTTTCAAACTGTATGGCCGTGGCAGGCTTCTTGCTAACTGTTCTTACAGCTTAAATTAATCCATTTCTATTAATCTATACCTTGCCACGTGGCTTGTGGCTTACCGGTACTTTACATCTTCCTTATCCTGATGGCGGCTGGCAGTGTCTCCTCTCCCAGCTTCCTGTTCTCTCAATTTTTCCTCTCTGTTAGTCCCGCCTATACTTCCTGCCTGGCCACTGCCAATCAGTGATTTATTCATTGACCAATCAGCAACACATTTGACATACAGACCATCCCACAGCATGCTGATTTTAGGCTTTTGTTTATCTGCTAGCAACCCTTCTATTTACCTGGTCAGAGTCCAGCCTGAGCTGAGTCCAGACTGTCATTTAGACATTGTCCCTGACACTGACATTTTGGGGGTCCACTTTGGACCTAACACGCCTCCATGCTTGAATGTTAACTGGCTTGATCCAAGCAACCACAACTGCTGTGAATTCATAGGTGGTCTGGAACTCTGTGTAGACGAGGCTGACCCGATCCTCACAGAGGCCCACCTGCTCTTCCTCTTAAATGTTAGGATTAAAGCCTGGTACCACCTGCACTTCCTTGCATCTGGCTATTTTTTTTTTTTTTTTTTTTTTGGTTTTTTCGAGACAGGGTTTCTCTGTGTAGCTTTGCGCCTTTTCTGGTACTCGCTTTGGAGACCAGGCTGGCCTCGAACTCACAGAGATCCGCCTGGCTCTGCCTCCCGAGTGCTGGGATTAAAGGCGTGCGCCACCACCGCCCGGCCTGGCTATTTTTGTTTGTTCTGGAGGAGGTTTCTCTGTGTAGCCCTGGCTATCTGAGAACTTGCTCTGTAGACCAGGCTGGCCTTGAACTCACAGAGATGCGCCTGCCTCTGCCTCCTAAGTCCTGGGATTAAAGACACATCTGGTTGTTTATGATGTAGGTTCCCAGGAATTGAACTCAAGTCAGTAGGTTTGTGGGTAAGCACTTTTAGCAGCTGAACCTCTTACTAGCCATGAGTAATGTCTTTTACTTGCATGAGATTATGTTCCATGCATTCATTTATCCATCTATCTATCTATTTATTTATCTTTCCTTCCATTTATTTATTTATTTATTTATTTATTTATTTATTTATTTGTGTGTGTATGTTTTTCAAGACAGGGTTTCTCTGTGTAGCTTTGCGCCTTTCCTAGATCTCACTCTGTAGCCCAGGCTGGCCTCAAACTCACAGAGATCTGCTTGTCTCTGCCTCCCAAGTGCTGGGATTAAAGATGTGCACCACCACCACCCCGCTATTTTTTGTTTTTTATATTTGGGTAGATTATTAAGTAATAGAATACTCTAAAAGTGTTAAACCTTTGAGAATATCTTGGGTTTTTACATAGTGATTTTAATTTTTTTTTCAGAATGGAAATACTGATTTCAAAAGACTTATACAAAACTTGAGATAATTCTAAATAGAAAATTAAAGGCACTTAATTCTTTCCACTGGAATAAAGTGTTTGTGGGGTGTGGTGGCCACAGTATTTATTACCTCAAGCTCCAAGCCAAGCTGGGTCACCGAGCCCTGTACTAGATTGCCCGCACAGCAAGACTCTGCCTCAGGAGAGACCAGTGGATAGGGGTAGGAGACGGGGAAAGAGAGAGTTGCTATGACGCTAGCTTTGGGGCTCGCAACCCCCTGTCCATCTAGTCTCGGGGTCCAATGCCCTCTTCTGACCTCCAGGGGCACCACGTACGAAAGTGGTACACAGACATACATGCGGACAAGATACCCATACTCAGGAAAATGAATTAATTAAAACATCAACAACAGTTAATCCCAGCACTCAGGAGGCAGAGGCAGGCGGATCTCTGTGAGTTCGAGGCCAGCCTGGGCTACAGAGTGAGACCTAGGATAGGCACCAAAACTACACAGAGAAACCCTGTCTTGAAAAACCAAAACAAACAAACAAAAAAAACAACAAAAACCTTTGCCAGTGTATTGACATTTGTTTTATTTATTTTAGTTCATGTTGGCTTCATACTGTATAATCATCGTGTGAATGTATTGTGGAATGAAATGTGCATATGACTTGTTTTCATAGGTCTCTGATCCAGCCACTCGCCAAATGCTGATTGGTACGATTCTCCACGAAGTCTTTCAAAAAGCCATAAGTGAGAGCTTTGCCCCTGAAAAGCTGCAAGAGCTTGCTTTTCACACTGTCCAAGAGATCAGGCATTTGAAGGAAATGTAAGTCACTGAGAAGAACTGCAGGTGCAGCCTCATCCTGTAACCAACTTCTCGCCTAGAATTCAGGTTTCTGGAAGGAGACCCTTCGGTGTGAGTTAGCATAGCCAAAGTTCAGCCATCCTGCTCACAGTGCCCTGTGGTGTCTCCACAGGGACTCTTGGGTAACATTACTGAAGTACCCTACATATGTGTTCAAGGACGGAGTCTGTGCTACACAGATTCCTCAGCTGTCCTTACAGACCGACATAAGGAGCAGTATATGGGTTTGGAAGCAGGCAGTGGGAGCGTTCACATCCATCTTTGCCAGTTTAACGACTTTAATAAGTCTGAAAAGGGTGATTGATATCTTTGCAGACTTTTGTGACTCCCCTACCCAAAGATTGGCCTGTTCAGGAGGCAGAGGCAGGCAGATCTAAAAATCCTGAGGCCAGCCTGGACTACATATTGACTTCTAAATCAGCCAAGGCTATACTGTGAGACCCTGTCTAATAATAATAATAATAATAATAATAATAATACACTCTCAAAAAAAGGTGAACTGCTTCAGAGGGAAGAAAAAAGGGCTGGAGAGATGGCTCAGCGGTTAAGAGCATTTGCTGCTCTTGCAGGTATTAGTTTGGTTTCCAGCACCCATATCTGTAACTACAGCTCCAAGGGATCTAACACCCTCTTGTGGCTCTAAGGATGCTGCCTCCTGCGTGTTGGGATTAAAGTTATACACACCAACGCTCAGCTTCCACTTTATATTTTGAGACAAGGTCTCTCACTGAATGTGGAGCTGGAGGGTTTGGCTAGGCTGACTGGTCAATGTGCTCCAGAGATCCAAACTGAGGCCTTCAGGTTTGGGGGCAAACACTTTACTGGCTGAACTGTCTCCCTTGCCTGAACACCCACCCCACTCTTGGTCTTTGAGACAGGATCTGGCTGTGTAGCTTAGACTGGTCTCTAGTTTTGTTTTAGTTAGGGTTTCCATTGTTGTGAAGAGACACCATGGCCAAGGCAACTCTCATAAGGAAAACACTGAATTAGGGTGGCTCGCTTACAGTTTCAGAGGTTCAGTCCATTATCATCATGACGGGGAGCATGGTACCATGTGGGCAGACATGGTGCTGGAGTAGTAGCTGAGATCCTACATCTTGCAGCAACAGGAGATGCGCTGAGACACTGGGTGGTATCCTGAGCAGAGGAAACCTCAAAGCCCACCCTCACAGTGATACACGTCCTCCAACAAGGCCGTACCCACTCCAACAAAGCCACACCCCCTAATAGCACCATTCCCTATGAGATTATGAATTACATTCAAACTGCCACAAGCTTGGTGTTCTTCTGTTTTAGTTACCATGCCTGTTTTTTTGTTTTTTGTTTTTTGTTTTTTGTTTCTTCGAGACAGGGTTTCTCTGTGTAGCTTTGCGCCTTTCCTGGAACTCGCTTTGTAGACCAGGCTGGCCTCGAACTCACAGAGATCCGCCTGCCTCTGTCTCCCGAGTGCTGGGATTAAAGGCGTGTGCCGCCACCACCGCCCGGCTCCATGCCTGGTTTTATGCCGGGGGATTGAACCCAGGACTTCCTGTGTGCTGGGCAAGCACTCTACCAACTGACTACATCTCCAGCTCCAGAAGATTTTTATTAGTGACTTTTTGAGACAAGGTCTTTCCCCAGCTGGCCTAGAACTTACTATGTAGACCAGTCTGGTCCAGGACTCACAGAGACCCATCTGCCAGCTTTGTGTGAGGAAAGGTAAAGGGTTATTTGACCCCAGGAGTTTGAGGCCAGTCTGGGTAATACAGGAAGACCTTATTTTGTTTATTTATTTTTAAATTTAATTTTATGTGTATGGGTGTTTTGTTTACACATTTGCACCATGTGTATGCAGTGCCCGTGGAGGCCAGATGAGGGCATCAGATGTCCTGAAACAAGTTATAGGTGCTTGTTAACCGTTATATATATATAGGTGTTGGTAATTGAACTAGGTCTTCTGCGAGAGCAGCCAGTGCTCCTAACTACTGGACCATCTCTCCAGCACCCACATGTCTACTCTATTGCTTGCTTTAGGAACAGCATCTTCTATAGTTTTTTTTGTTGTTTTTTAATTTGAGAAGTGTAATTGGGACCAACCATTTTGATTACAGCTGACGTGTGGATGAAACTGGAACAGATAAACATGAAATTAGATGTCAGGTCATGGTTAATTGTATTTTTTTTTCAATTGGGGTAAAACATAACATAGAAGTTACCATCTTAGCCAGACCTAGTTCATGCTTGTGTGTCTGCGTTCAGGAAGCTGAATCGGAAGACTCTGATAGCTCCAGGCCAGTCTGGTCTTCTGGAAAAAAAAAAGAACACATTTTAACTATTTTTCTTTTTAAAAAGTTTTAAACTTCATTTTTTATTATTATTATGATTGGGGGTGTGCAGATGTGCCTGGGTGTGCAGATGTACCTCTGTGTGCATGCGGAGGTCCGAATTCACTTGTTTGTGAATCACTCATTTCCCACCTTTACCTGAGTCTGGAGACGGAAGTTAGGCCGACTGGTTTGCACAGCAAGCTCTCCCCTGCTGAGCCGTCTCCTGACTCCAGTTCACTCTGTGTTTTCCTGCTTTAGCATCATCTTGATACTAGGTGTGTGCTACCCAGCCACAGTTAACACCTCTTAAAAAAGCCAAGCTGGGCTCAACCCCAGAGACTTGAACATGCAGAGAATGTTCTGAACCTATGAATATTTTATGGCTGAGCTGTACTCTGTTATGTTTGTACCACATTTGGAAACATCCATTCATTAGCCTTTTCAATATTCTTTTCATATGTATGTTTTGGTTTTTTTCAAGACAGAATTTCTCTGTGTAGCTCTGGCTGTCCTGGAACTCGTTCTGTAGACCAGGTTGGTGGTTTATATTTCTTAATATTTATGTTTTCTTAATTTCCCCCCCTTTTTTTTAAGGTACCGCTTAAATCTGAGTCCAGATGAAGTAAGATGTGAAGTTGAGGAGTATCTCCCCTCCTTCTCTAAGTGGGCTGAGGATTTCATGCGTAAGGGCCCTCCTGCTGAATTTCCTCAGATGCAGCTCTCCCTGTAAGAAGTGGGTTTTGTTTATACGGTGTTCAGATTTTTTGACAGGATTCCTTGGTCCTCGTTTATTCAAAGTTTTGTTTACTTGTTTGTTTTAGTTTTACGAGACAGGGTTTCTCTGCATAGCCCTGGCTGTCCTGGAACTCTTTATGAACCACAGAACTCACAGATCCACCTGCCTCTGCCTCCTGAGTGCAGGGACTAAAGGTGTGCGTCAGCAGGTCTGGCATAAAGATTAAGTTTCTACAATTAATCATTTTGTTGTTGTTTTTCACAAATTATTATCTATAGTATCTTTCCATGACCAAAAAAAAATCTAATGAGCAGAACATCTTCTTTTCCTTCTAATGTTAGTCAATATCATTGCGCTGTCGGAATAGCTTTACTTTGTCTCACCTTTTATGAACGATTTCTTTTCTTTTGCGACATGGTCTCCCTGTATGGTCTTGGCTGACCTGGAACTCACCGTGTAGACCCGGCTGGCCTTGAACCAACATATCTGTTGCCTCTGCATGGGGAGTGCTGAGATTAACAGCAGGCACCACCATATAAGGCCTTACAATGATTTTTGGAAAGCACCTCCTTACCCCACTGTAGTTCTTCGGCAGTTGTTACGGCCGCAGGGCTTATAGCAGCAGCCCCAGCAGCGGGTGTGTTACAGGATTCAGATCAGTCCATCACTTGCCAGAGAACATGGCGGCTTTTCTGTCTTATGATGCCCGTGGTACAGTTCAGAAAACAACACCAACCAAACCCCCAGCACCCAGAAAAGATCCTTGTGTGGTAGTCAGCGCGGCGGGTGTGGAATGAGCTGTGTTCTGATTAAGCGTTCTGTGTTTCTTTTTAGGCCAAGTGACGGTGGTCACAGAAGTCCGTCTTGTACCGTCGAAGTAACAAAGTCACTGGATATTGAAGAAAGCATCTGGTCCCCTAGGTTTGGATTGAAGGGCAAAATAGACGTCACAGTAGGTGTCAGAATACATCGAGATTGTAAAACAAGATATAAGATAATGCCACTGGAGCTTAAAACTGGCAAAGAATCCAATTCTATCGAGCACCGAAGTCAGGTATCAGTCTTCAACATTCGTAGGGGTTGGCGTCTTTAAGCATACACTATTATCTTCATTCAGTTCAGGTAGCGTTTTTGTTTTTTCATGTTGCACTTTTTAATTTGTAATTGAAATTCACAGTGTACTCGGCTTGTTTTATCAGTATTTACATCCTCAGTAGAAAATTTTCATCAGCAAATTAGTATAAGAGCTGGCCTTGGGGCTGGGGAGACCGCTCTGCAGTTAAGAATGCTGGCTGCTCTTGCAGAGGACCCAGGTTTGATTCCCAGCACCCACATGGCTCACAGCTTCCTGTAACTGGAGTTCCGGGGATCGAACGGCCTTGTCTGACCTCCTCAGACACACGCACAGTGCACAGACATACATGCAGGCAATAGATCCATACACATAGTACATTTAAAAAATAAAAACAGCTGGACTTGGGAGCCATTGAGGCCAGGTTATGATGCTAAACCAGCTATCCAAGCAGATACCGAGAAAAGGGAAGACATGGATGTTGGTTCTACAACCAAATTCTTATTCCTGTGTGTGTGTGTGTGTGTGTGTGTGTGTGTGTGTGTGTGTGTGTGTGTGTGCGCGCGTGTGTGCGCGCGCCTCAGACTTTTTTTTTTTTTTTGGTTTTTCGAGACAGGGTTTCTCTGTGTAGCTTTGCACCTTTTCCTGGAACTCACTTGGTAGTCCAGGCTGGCCTTGAACTCACAGAGATCCTCCTGCCTCTGCCTCCCGAGTGCTGGGATTAAAGGCGTGTGCCACCACTGCCCGGCTCAGACTTTTTTTTAGTGTAGGAGCTCTAACTCAGGACCTTGCATGTGCTAAACAACCCTCTACTGACTAGATTATTCTTTTAAAATAAAGTTTTGCTTTTAATAAAGTTGTGTTTATGTGTATAGGTATATTCCTATGCGCGTAGGTACCCACTGAGGCTAGAAGAGTATGTTGTTGTACTACTCCAGAGCTGGAGTTACAGGGGTTACAGTTATGTGCTGCCCCAAGTGGGTGCTGAGAACCCAACTCAGATCCTCTGCACTGTAGGCTTTTAACTGCTGAGCCGTCTCTTCAGTCCCCAGCCTGCCATTTAAAACACTTTTTAGCGCTTGTTTATTTTTATTTTACATGTATGGATGTTTTCCATATGCCTTTGCACCAAGTATGTCCCTGGTTCCTGTTGACAGGGCATCAAATCCTCTGGAACTGGAGTTACAATGTTGTGAGCGGTCATGTGGGTGCTTGATCTGAACCTGGGTTCTTTGGAAGAGCAGTGGGTGCTCTTTCTCTCTCTCCTTTCCTTTTTTTTTTTTTTTTTTTTTTTTTTTTTGTAGAGACAGGGTAACAGCCCATTGTAACAGCCTTGGCCGTCTTGTAACTCACTCTGTAGACCAGACTGGCCTTGAACTCACAGATCTGCTTGCCTCTGCTTCCTGAGTGCTGGGATTAAAAGTGTGCACCACCATCGCCCGGCTGCAGTCTGTACTCTTAACTGCTCAGTCATCTTCTCCAGCCCTTGCCGAATTATTTTCCTCCCTTTGGTTTTATGAAACAAGTTCTCTAGTTCTGGCTGTTCTGGAGCTCACCATGTAGACCAGGCTATCCTGGTACTCAGAGATCCACCTGCCTCTGCCTCCCCAGTGCTGGGATTGAAGGCGTGCACCACCATGACAGGCCGAAGACTGTTTGTGCCTGATTTAGTGGCTTCCTCTGCAGGACACAGTTAACATTAACCCTCAGGCTGGTAATGAGTTCCTACTTTGGAAAAGTCACTTTGTTAGTTTTGTTGAATTGCCATTGTGACTATGATGTAAATCATAAGCATTTCAGGGTTCGTTTGTTTAAAATCAGGAAATAACGTGTAAAGGCTGTTAACTTGGAAATATGAAAAACAGTTTGATTAATTTCTTGATTTTTATTTTTTATATTTTTGAATTTAACTCCTGACAGGAGAAAACCTTTCCTCCTTCCCTCCCTCTCTGTCGTCTTCCCGCTTTTCAGGCGGGCGCTGCCGAGCCATGCCCCCGTCTCCCGGTGCACTGCGTTTCTTTACCGTCAGCGTGAAACTGAAAAGCACGGACTGTGTGTTTTGTACAGACTCAGTGCTTGACGTTGAACTTGGTCCGTCGCCTTCACCAAGTTGGCTTGTGCCGTTGACACGGTGGGAACTGGTGGGAACTAGTGTGAACTGCGCCGCCGACTTTTCCGTGTGTGCCGGCTCCAGACTATGTAGGGAGAGAGCAAGTCACCGTGGTCTGTTGACAGTCTGTCTTACACAGGTGGTCCTGTACACGCTGCTGAGCCAGGAGAGACGAGAGGACCCCGAGGCTGGCTGGCTTCTCTACCTCAAGACCGGGCAGATGTACCCTGTGCCCGCCAAGCATCTGGACAAAAGAGGTTGAGCTGTTCCCTTTCGTCTTTACCTCTCTGGCCCTGCTCCCTCTCCTTTGTGCTACTTGCTAGACCGTACTACAGGTCGTAATCTGTAGTCATGTATTTTGTACATTTTCTATTTATCTTTATTTACTATCCATGGGAGGAGTGCAGGGTTAGAGGTTGAAGGACAACTTTGTGGAAGTCCGTCCTCTCCTTCCACCTTTCTGTCGGTTCCAGGGATTGAACTCATGTCTCCAGGTTTACACAGCAAGCTCCTTTACCTGCTTTGCCATCTCACTGGCCCATTTTGGGCTTTTTTGTTTGTTTGTTTGTTTGTTTGTTTTTTAAGTATTTTAAGCTGAGCACCGTGTAGTACATGTCTTTAATCCTAGTACTCCAGCATTTGGGGCAGGCAGGTCTCCATGGGTTCATGGCTAGCCTGGTCTACATATCAAGTTCCAAGGTAGCCAAGTCTATACAGTGAGACCCTATCTCAAAACGAAAACAATTAAGAACAAAACAAACCAACCTAGCCTCACTGTGTGTGTGTATGGGGGCTCAGGGCTCGGAGTAGGCTCAGAACACACTCAGACACCAAATTCTGATTATAAAAGAGATTTATTACCCTGGAGGGGCAAGGGGCTGCTCCTCAGATTGGGCACAGGCAGGCAGCAGGTGTATTTTGCAGGGGTGGTTATTAAGGAGAGAAGGGAAAGGGGAAGTCTGAGCTAGGGTGAGGTGGTCGTCCTGATTGGACAGGTTAGCCATTGTAAAGTGTTTAGTCTCAGGAAAGAGTCAGTGGCCAAATATGAGAATGGACCTTGGGGACTAGCTTTAGGAATGTAATCTAACGGTTTAGCGAGGGAGAGGGAAAGGGACAGGCAAAACCTGTCTGCATTGCTTGGGCCTGCTGGAGAGCCCTTCACTCATAGTACTTACCAGGTCCAAGAGGAGGTTGTCTCAAAAACCCTTCGTGTGCAGAGCCTTGAAGTGCGTCAGCACATTACACGTGACTGTGGCTAACTCTGGTAAAGAGGCAGGTGTCCATATGGCTCTTCACTTTTACTTGGTTTTTACTTTTTTTTTTTGAGACAGGGTTTCTCTGTGTAGTTTTGGTGCCTGTCCTGGATCTAGCTCTGTAGACCAGGCTGGCCTCGAACTCACAGAGATCTGCCTGGCTCTGCCTCCCGAGTGCTGGGATCAAAGGTGTGCGCCACCACCACTGCCCGGCTTACTTTGTTTTTAAATCTGAAGCCTTTGTTGGTAGGAACCCTGCTTCATTCTGAAAAGCCCACTTTACTTGTCCCCAGAACTGCTGAAGCTCAGGGACCAGCTGGCGTTCTACCTGCTGCACCGAGTGAGCAGAGCTGCTTCCGGGGAGGAGACACGGCTTTCTCCCCTGCCACAAATAATCGAGGAAGAGAAAACTTGTAAATATTGTTCACAGATGGGCAACTGTGCTCTTTATAGCAGGTAAACATGCTGTCGTGTGTGTGTGTGTGTGTGTGTGTGTGTGTGTGTGTGTGTGTGTGTGTGTGTGTGGTGGGGGTCGGGTGGGAGGTGTTGCTCAGTTAAGGAGAACCTTATTTCACAGCCTGCCAGGGAAATGTGCGCTCAGCCCTAATTGGAACTTTGTATTTAGAGCAGTTGAGGAACAGGCGGACGACACTTTCGTCCCAGAGGGCATGCTGTCCAAAATCCAAGAAGAAACGCGGCACCTGAAGCCGACACACTTGAAGTATTTCAGCCTGTGGTGCCTCATGCTAACCTTGGAGTCACAATCTAAAGATCACAGAAAGAATCACCAAAACATCTGGTCAATGCCTGCTTCCGAAATGTGAGTGTCCGCTGAATACACAGCGGTGGTGTAGGTACTGTGCTGCAGCATTTGGAATTCCTGTCAGGAGAGGCCGGGCAGCCTGTTAAAGTCACGGTTCCAAAGTGCTTGTGTTGCAGGCCTGGGGACCTGAGTTTTAATCCCCTGCACCCGTGTCACAAGTAATCCCAGTGCAGGGGGGGCTGTTACAGGTAGACTCCGGAGGTTCACTGGCCAGCCAGCATAGCACCATTGTCTAACTCCTGCCAGTGAGAGGCTATGTGAAAAATCCAGATGAACAGTCACTGGGGAAACACCCAGGGTTGTTTCTGGCCTCCACATGTCCACGAGCAAATGTGTACATGCATCTGCACAGATGTGCATCTGAATACACTCATACACATAGTTTTTAAAAAGCGTATGTGGCTTCATTTATTAATGACCTTGTCACAGGTGATACAAAATAATATTAAAAAAGAACAGATAGAAAGTTACTAACTTGGCATTTTAGTGCTTTATAGTAGATTATAGAAAAAAAATTTTTTTAAAGGACAGATGCATTAGCATTGATTTCCAGGGGCCATAGGCCAGCAAGATTGCCGAGGGAATAAAGGTACTTACAGCCACGCTTGATGATCTGAGTTTAATCCCTGGGATTCACACTGTGGAAGGGAAGAACCACCTCCTGGGAGTTGACCCCTGACCTTCACAGGATCAGCTCAGCCCATGTGTGCACACATTCATATCACACACACACGATAATAATCAGTAAATTTTTTAAAAAATTTTCATGGGCTGTATAAACAAATCAATTGTAGGGGAAAAAACCCCAACATATATACAATGTCAGTGAACACTGTCCCTCATTCTTTCGTAGGGAGGAGGGAGGCAACTGCATTGGAAACCTGGTCCAGAGGAAGCCTGTAAAAAGATTTTGTGATGGACAGTACTTACATAACTTTCAGCGGAAAAACGGTGCCATGCCGGCCACCAATCTGATGGCCGGTGACAGGATTATTTTAAGTGGAGAACAGAGGAAACTGTTCGCTTTGTCTAAAGGCTACGTGAAGGAGATTAACGGGGCAGCGGTAACCTGCTTGCTAGACAGGTAATAAAATAGCTTTGTCAGTATGGAACTCAGGTCATGTATCCCTCCATTTATGGTGCATAGTAGTGTGATTAGTCATAATATTCAGAGAGATGCACAAAGGGCTGAGGATGTAACCCAGTGGCAGGGTGCTTGCCAGCATGTACCAGGCCCTAGATTCTATTGCCATTGCCATGAAAATTAATGAAATACAGCCATCACCAGTTTTAGACATTTTCATAACCCCGAAGAGACTCGTGCCCTTTAGCACTCAACCGAATTTCCACTCACCCCCTAGCCAGGCTCAGCTACAAATATGTTTGTTTTCTTTTGAGATACTCTGAGATTCTTTGGAGAGCCTAGTTCACTCTGTAGCCCATGCCGCCCAAGAAACTATCACTCCTTCCCTCTCGGCCTCCAAAGTACTGGGATCATACATGTTCCCAGTCTGCTTCCTGTCTCAGTAAGATTCCCTCTTAAACATTTCAAACAAATTGACTCAATATAAGGTCTCTGGTAGCTGTTTTTTGTCACAGCAGATTGTGTTCTTTTGCTGTGTTTTTTTTTTTTTTATTCATGCATACAAGTTGTGCGCCACCACACCCGCAACACTCTGCCTTTCTGCCTAGTTCTCATTCTCCAGCTCTTTCTTTCATGCTTAGGTTGGAACCCAGGGCCTCACCGGCAGTAGGTAAAAGCTCTCACCAAGTTACATTCCCAGCTCTCCTCACCAGGGGTTAGTACATTGAAGTCAGCAATTAAGACAATGATGGGTGGGGGGTGAGATGGCCGAGGAGGTACTTGCTGCACACATCTGACCGTATTCCAGGAGCCCACAGAAAGGCAGAAGGGAGAGAGAACCACTCTGCAGAGGAGTCTTCCGACCTCCACACACAGGCTGTGGCATACCCGCCCCCACACTTCACACACACGTACACAGTCATGATGATCTCCATGATCCCCACGCTCCACTCAGAAGCCCTTTTAGGACAGCTAATTCCTCGGTCCACAGGTTAGCCGACAGCGTGAGGAGCATCTATGAGACTGAACATGTTGCAGAAAGGCATGGTGGTGGGGTGCAGTACAACATGGAGATTTTAGAGACCATGGGCAGTTCTGAAATGTAAAATATAAGGAAGTGATTAGAGATGCCTCAGCATACATGGTCTCCTTGTAAAAACTGACACTTATTATGTGTGCATATATGGGTGTGAACTTGGGCTTGCGTGTGTGGTCTAGGTTGACCTGAAACATGCTGTGTAAGCTAATGTGACCTTGAACTCTGATGCTCCTACCTCTGACTCCCAAGTGCTAGGATTACAGGTGCACACCCCACACTCAGCTCTACACTTTTAGCCAGTAAACAGCCTATATGAAATGAACACATCCATGTGTGTTTGTTTTGTTGTTTTAGGAACTTGTCGACACTCCCAGAAACAACGTTGTTCAGATTGGACCGGGAAGAAAAAAGTTGTGATATAGATACCCCATTAGGAAATCTCTCTAAATTGATGGAAAACACCGATACCAGGTTGGTAATGATGAAGGAGCCAGAATATCTCCCCACTTTTCTAAAGATCCCACTAAAAGTGCTTTTGTTTTTCTTTGCAGCAAAAGACTTCGAGAGTTAATCATTGATTTCAAGGAACCCCAGTTTATACCCTACCTCAGCTCCGTTCTTCCACACGATGCGAAGGATACAGTGGCCAACATTCTGAAGGGTGTGCCGTAGCCAGCATTCCGATTTGATTTTCTTGGTTCTCTTTATAGCTGAAATTGTGCCCAGTGTCCAGTTGCTTAGCAGTTGATTAGTCATGCAGTTAGAAGGGCCAGAGAAACGGCTTAGTGGGGAAACGCACTTACCACCCAAGCCTGAGGGGCTGAGTATGATCCCTGAAACCTATTTGAAAAATAAGGGTGCCGTGACGTTCATCTGTAAACCCGCACTCCTGTGGTGAGATGGGAGGGCGGAAACAGGAGACGCACCATGAATCTCTCAGGCCAGTCAGCTGACCTTGAGTGTGCTGCATGGTAGAAGTAAGGGAAACCCTGACTCAAAGCCAGGTGGTGGCAGCGGCGCACGCCTTTAATTCCAGCACTCAGGAGGCAGAGGCAGGCGGATCTCTGTGAGTTCGAGGCCAGCCTGGTCTACAGAATGAGTTCCAGGACAGGCAGACCTACATAGAAAAACTCTGTCTTGAAAAATAATCAAAAAAAAAAAAAAGTGAAATTATGAGCCAGACATGGTAGTATATCCCAGCACTTAAGAGGCCAAGGAAAGAGTACATTTCAGGGCCAGCCTGTTCTACACAATCCACAGAGCAAGAACCTGTATCAAAACTAAAGTTCGCTGGGCAGTGGTGGAGCATGCTAGGGCTACACACAGAGAAACCCTGTCTGGGTTGGGGAGTAGTTCACTGAAATTAAATATTCTTGTTTTTATTCTCTTAAATTGAAATACAGGTTTGAATAAGCCTCAGAGGCAAGCCATGAAGAAAGTCCTTCTTTCGAAAGACTACACGCTCATCGTGGGGATGCCAGGGACAGGAAAGACAACTACAATATGTGCTCTTGTAAGCTCTGAAACTAACCGATTCTGTTGGGTTCCTCCTGCCCGAGGAGGTGATGCTTGCTATCACCGCCCCTGGACTTTGCCAAGCGTGGTGGCTCACACCCTTAATCCCATCACTTGGAGGCAGAGACAGGAGGATGCATATATGTAAGTTCGAGTCCAGTCTGGTCCACATAGCGAGTTGCAGACCAGCCAAGGATGCATAGGCCCTGTCTCATCAAAACAAAAAAATGATAAATTAACTTGGCATGGTGGTACAGGCCTCTACCCACACCACTCTGGGGCCTTTTTGAGAATGACATGATTAATAGCATAATGAAAAATGCCTCGGGCTGGCAGAATGTCTCAGCAAACAAAAGTGCCTGACCTGAGTTCAGTTCTAGGATCCATCTGGCAGAGGGAGAGAACCAACCCTCTGACCCTCAGTTGTGTGCCATGGCGTGTGTATCTGCACAGAAATAAGTAAGATGTAATAAAAAGTTAGTGCTGTATAATTTTTGTAGCTCATTGTGGTTTTACAGTTCTTTAGAAAAGTTACTTATTCCCTCTCGGATTCAGGTCTTACTGAACTTTGTATCTGTTTGGAAACTGTCAGCCTGTAAACCAGTTCCCCGAGTTCAGAGCAGTGACGTTTTTCTCTGTCTCCCATCTCTAGGTAAGGATCCTCTCCGCCTGTGGCTTCAGTGTTCTGTTGACCAGTTATACGCATTCTGCTGTTGACAATATTCTCTTGAAGTTAGCCAAGTTTAAGATAGGATTTTTGCGCTTGGGTCAGTCTCATAAGGTCCATCCAGATATCCAGAAGTTTACAGAGGAGGAGATTTGCAGATCAAGGTCCATTAAGTCCTTAGCCCTTCTAGAAGAACTCTATAACAGTCACGTAAGTCTGTTTCTCGTGTGTGTGTACTCGTGTGTGTAGACGTCACAGGCTAACCTCTGCTATTTCTCAGGTGCTGTCCTCTTTTTTGTTGAGACAAGTGTTAATTATAAATGCTTGACGAGTAGCTCAGGCTTGTTACCAGCTCACTCTTACATTTTAAATTTACCAATATTTCTTACCTACCCTCTGCCACGAGGCGGTACCTTCTTTCAACATGGCACATTCATCTTGCTTCTCTCCGCCTCCGCTCCCAACTCCTGAGACTCCACCCTCCTTCTTCCCAATGTCTCCCCCCATACCTCCTGCCTAGCTACTGGCCTATCAGCTCTTTTATTAAACCAATTAGAAGGAGCCTTGACAAAGACACATGTTCACAATGTACAGAGAGATTGTTCCGTAACAGATTAGATTTCTCTTTGTCTTGGAGGTTGCAAAGTAGTCTAGGTTGGCTGGCTGGCCATTGAGCACCAGGGGATCCACCTGTCTCCACAAAAAGTTTTTGTTTCCCTTCCTTCCTCCCTCCTACCCTCCCTCCCTCCCTCCCTCTCCCCTCCCTCCCTCCCTTCCTCCCTTCCTTTCTTCCTTTGATATGATCTCTTATAGCCTAGGCTCACCTTGAAGTCACTGTGTAGTCAGGCCTGCCCTTGAACAACTGGTCCTCCTACCTCAGCCTCCCAAGTGCTGGGATTATGGGCCTGCGCCTCCATGCCTGGCTTGCTGTTGACTTGGGGACCCTTTATACATGTTAGGTACTGGTCCTCTTTCTGCATACACGGTTTCCTGGTCTTCCTCTCTATGAGTTGCCTTTTTTTCCTTCCTCATGGGGCCTCTTGCAGAATAACAGAGTTAGTAATGCACCAGGTATGAGGGTGTGGGCTTGTTGTCTCAGCTACTCCGGAGGCTCAGGCCAGAGGCCCCCTTAAGCCAACCTGTACTACATAGTAAGTTCAGAGGAATCTTGAAAAACAAACTCTAAATGTTTCAGAATCAAAGAATACTGAAGAATTCTTGCTGTTGGAGGGGGATAGTTTTTGATCTCTTAATTTTAAAAATGGGAAAATCCAAGTACCTTCTTGACACGCTCACTAACGACTTATTTTCTCTCTGTTTAGCTGATTGTTGCAACAACCTGTATGGGCATAAACCATCCAATATTTTCTCGGAAGACCTTCGATTTTTGTATTGTGGATGAAGCCTCTCAAATCGGTCAGCCGGTTTGCCTGGGCCCCCTTTTTTTCTCTCGGAGATTTGTGTTGGTGGGAGACCATCAGCAGCTTCCTCCCTTGGTTCTAAACCGCGAAGCAAGGTGGGTAGGTGCTCTTGTTTGCTTCCTGGTACTGTGTCAAACACCGATCAACACCGTCTTGGGGGAGGGAAGATCTGGCTTACAGATTGCAGTCCGTCCTTGAGGGAAGTCAAGGCAGGAACTGAAGCAGAGACCGTCTCGGAACACTGCTTACTGGCTTGTTCCCAGGCTCCCATTCAGCTGTCTTTCTTACGCAGCCCAGGTCCCCCGTCCAGTGATGGTACAGTGGGCCGAGTCCTCCTCTCCTACCACGGTCAGCAATCATGAAAATGCCCCACAGACATTCCCGCATGTCAGTTTGATGGAGACAATTTTTCCATCCAAGTTCCCTCTTCCCAGTGTGTTTAGTTGACAACAGTGGGGGCAGTAGACATTTCATTTTGGTGTTCTTTTATTTATTTATTTATTTGTTTGTTTGTTTGTTTATTTATTTATTTATTTATTGTGTATACAGAAGAGGGCACCAGATCTCGTTACAGATGGTTGTGAGCCACCACGTGGGTGCTGGGAATTGAACTCAGGACCTCTAGAAGAACAGTCGGTGCTCTTAACCTCTGAGCCATCTCTCCAGCCCTTTATTTTGTTTTTGAGACAGGGTCTCACTGTGTATCCCTGACTGGCCTAGAACTCGCTCTGTAGCCCAGGCTGGCCTCAAACTCAGAGATCTGCCCGCCTCCGCCTCCCGAGTGCTGGGACTAAAGGTGTGCACCCTCACACAGGCTTCAGTTTTGTTTTAATAGATTGGATTTTGCCGTACTGTCCAGCCTTGAAGGATCTTTCTGCCTCAGGCTCCCACCTCAGGCTTCTAGCGCGTTGAGACGGCAGACCTTTGTCCCCGCTCAATATTGAAGTTTTTAGCTGTCGGAGCTGGGGATGCGGCTCCGTTCTCCAAGTGTTTGCGGCCGTGCAGGAAGCCTTGGACTGCATCCCCAGCGCTGCATAAACCAGGCTCGGTACACACTGTGCTTCTAGCACTAGGGAGACAGAGGCAGGAGGGTTAGAAATTCAGGGTGATCCTCTGCTACTTTTCAAGTTTTGGGACCCACCCGGGATCCTTGACCCCTGTCTTAAAATAAAAAAGCAGGTGTTAGTTTCAAGCTGGATTTTTTGGGAACCAGTGAACTGACTCAGTGGGAAAAGCCCTTTGACAAGCCTAGGAGCCGAGCTGGATCCCTGGAGCCTCAGTAAAGGCGGGAGGAGAGAGCCGCCAAAGGAAATCCCCCGACCTCCGAAGGAACACCTCCTTGGGGGTGCAAAGCACACATGCACTCGTAGGTCAAGTGAAAGAACTGGTTGAGTTCTTCGGTGTGTTCATGAGCCCGAGTGTGGTCTGTTGGCAGGGCTCTGGGCATGAGCGAGAGCCTGTTCAAGAGGCTGGAGCAGAACAAGGCGGCCGTCGTGCAGTTGACGGTGCAGTACAGGATGAACAGGTGTGTGTGTGTGTGCCCCACGGCCCCGAGTGCCCCGCGTGCCCCGAGTGCCCATTTCTGTCGCCTTCCACACTGAGCTTGTGTTCTGCAATTCTTCCAGCAAGATCATGTCCTTAAGCAATAAGCTCACGTACGAGGGGAAGCTGGAGTGCGGATCAGACAAAGTGGCCAACTCGGTGATAGCCCTGCCCAACTTCAAGGACGTCAAGCTGAACCTGGAGCTTTACGCCCATGATTCTGATAACCCCTGGCTGGCGGGAGCGTTTGAGCCGGACAATCCTGTTTGTTTTCTTAACACAGATAAGGTAAAAGCAGAATGAAGAGAACTTTCAGTATTTTTTACATTTGTCCTAATATTTAAATTTCTCACTTACCAATACCTTTTGAGCTGATTACTTAAAAACAAATTTAGCACATACTCACCTACTTTCACATCTCAACACAGCATCATATGTCTGTCGTTCTTGTCTGTTTTGTTTTTAAACAAGGCTCTCGCCCTGGATGGCCTCAGGCTCCGTCTGCCTCACAAGTGTGGGCCTAAGGGTGTGCGCCACCACACCTGCTGGCCCCAGCACACTTAGGAGGGTGTTTATTCAACAGGTCATGCGTGTCAGAGTTAATGTCTTTCTCTTCTTTTTTCCTTTCTGTTTGTTTTGTTTTGTTTTTGAAGACAGGGTTTCTCTGTGTAGCCCAGGCTGTCCTGGAATTTGCTCTGTAGACCAGGCTGGCCTGTAATTCAGAGATCTGTTGCCCTTGCCTTCCAAGTGCTGGGATCAAAGACTGCCCCACAGCTTCTTTCTTTTTTTTTTTTTTTTTAAAGATTTATTTATTTATTATGTATACAGTGTTCTGCCTACATGCATGCTTGCAGGCCAGAAGAGGGCGCCAAATCTCATTTCAGATGGTTGTGAGCCACCATGTGGTTGCTGGGAATTGAACTCAGGACCTCTGGAAGAACAGCCAGTGCTCTCAACCTCTGAGCCATCTCTCCAGCCCCAGCTTCTTTCTTTCTAAGACAGTATTTTGCTGTTTAGCCCATGACTGGCCTCAAACTTGGAACAATCCTCCTGCCTTCACCTCTTGAATGCTAAGAATTTTTTTCTCATGCTCAGGGTTGAACCCAGGCCTTCCTGTATAGTAGGCAAGCCTTCCCACTGAATACATCTCACACTGCACACTCTAAAAGGAAATCCTGCCAGCCTGGTAACACACTTGTAATCCCAGCACTTGGGTTGTGGAGTCAGGAGGATCAGAAGTTCAAGATCATCCTGGGCAGTGTAGTTTGAAGCCAGCCTGGTTTACCTGAGACACTTAAGTGTATATATATATATGTGTGTGTGTGTGTGTGTGTGTGTGTGTGTATCACACACACACACACACACACGATGAAGGCTGTATGAGGATAGTGTGAGAAGACATCGCTTCTTGGAGCATTTTCTCAGGCTTGGGGGAGCCTGGGAAGCTTTTCTGCTGTATCATTTGAATAAAAGGCAGCAAGATAATGCCACTGTCAGCACCTGTGCCAGAGCCAAAGTAATGGTGAGGGCTCCTGCCAGTTACTGTCTTCCTGCCTTTGATTCCTGTGAAACAGACGGCAGTGAGAAGTGAGAGAGCCAGCCGGAGCTGTAGCGTGCTTATTATGAATTGGTTTTATGTACTTATCTGAAACTGCCTGTGCGTGCGTGCGTGCGTGCGTGCGTGCGTGCGTGCGTGCGTGTGTCTGTCTTTGTGTGTCTGTGTATTATTTAGGACTGTTTTCAGTTTATCTTCAAACCTAATAGTCAGGTCTTTGTAGCCCCCGGGTCCTTGCAGCTTAAACCTGACAGATTGCATCACTGTACCCCATTTCTCCGCTTAGGTCCCAGCTCCAGAACAAATTGAAAATGGTGGCGTGAGCAACATCACAGAAGCCAGACTCGTCGTCTTTCTAACCTCAGTTTTTATTAAGGTAATGTAGAGTTTTCAAGGCTAGTCAATATTCGTACAGAGTAATTGAATTTTGACTATTTTTTCTTGTTTTTTCGAGACAGGGTTTCTCTGTGTAGCTTTGCGCCTTTCCTGGATCTCGCTCTCTAGACCAGGCTGGCCTCGAACTTACAAAGATCCGCCTGCCTCTGCCTCCCGAGTGCTGGGATTAAAGGCGTGTGCCACCACCGCCCGGCGAATTTTGACTATTTTTTAAATATTGTTAGACTCTAAAAATATAAGATCTGGTGTTAACACTTGTTTATTAAGATAAAGGAGCCGGGCGGTGGTGGCGTACACCTTTAATCCCAGCACTCGGGAGGCAGAGGCAGGCGAATCTCTGTGAGTTCGAGGCCAGCCTGGGCTACAGAGAGAGTTCCAGGAAAGGCACAAAGCTACACAGAGAAACCCTGTCTCGAAATAACCAAAAAAAAAAAAAAAAAGATAAAGGTCAGGGGCTGGAGATATGTCTCAGTGGTTAAGAGCTGATGCTCTTAGAAAGAAATGTTATTCGCTGGGCAGTGGTGGTGCAAACCTTTAATCCCAGCCCTCGGGAAGCAGAGCTAGGCGAATCTCTGAGTTTGAGGCCAGCCTGGGCTACAGAGTGAGTTCCAGGAAAGGCGCAAAGCTACACAGAGAAACTGTCTCGAGAAAAAAACAAAAACAAAAACAACTGTTATTCAGAGACTGGAGAGATGGCTCAGAGGTTAAGAGCACTAGCTGCTCTTCCAGAGGACCTGAGTTCAGTTCCCAGCAACCACATGGTAGCTCACAACCATCTGTGATGAGATCTGGTGCCCTCTTTTTTTTTTTTTTTTTTAAAGATTTATTTATTTATTATGTATACAGTATTCTGCCTGCATGTATCCCTTCAGGCCAGAAGAGGGAGATCTGGTGCCCTCTTACATAACTCTGTCCTGGAATTCACTCTCATCTAGTCTGGCCTTGAACTCACAGAGATCCACATGCCTCTTCCTCCCGAGTGCTGGGATTAAAGGTGTGTGCCACCAGGCCCAGTGAAATGAATTCTTTCTATGGTGGCCATTGCCGTTTCTGTTCAGTATCATTGTGTAGCATACTGAGTGTAGGTCGTTAGAAACTTGACTGTGAGTGGGAGAGCAGAAAACTGAGGGGCTGGGGAGAGGACGTAGTGGATACAAGCACTTTGCTTTGCCAGCGAGGACCTGAGTTCAGATCCCCAGCACCTACATAAACGTCAGGTGTGCGTGATGGCCTCCTGTAATATCAGTGCTCAGGAGGTAGAGACGTAGAAGTCTGGTTAGCTGACTTCCCAAATTGGTGAGCTTGGGTTCAAGTGAGAAACCCTGCCTCCTTGTGTAAGATGGAGAGTGAGGAGGATACCTGACTCAACCTCTGGCCTCCTAATCCACAGGCGTCCCCTCACACACAGGCACCCAAACACATACAAACCACATACACGTGCAAAAGATGAAAATCTAAAATGTTTTAAAAGTTGGGGCAAAAAAATGTAAATATCTAGCAATAGATTCAGTAAAGGTTAAGGAACTCCAGAGTTGGGATGGTCGGTTTAAATCAGATTTGTTTCCCACGTAGGCTGGCTGCAGCCCCTCCAACATCGGCATCATCGCGCCGTACAGGCAGCAGCTAAGGACCATCAGTGACTTACTGGCACGATCTTCTGTCGGGAGGGTCGAAGTTAACACAGTGGACAAATACCAGGGAAGGGACAAGAGCCTCATCCTGGTGTCCTTCGTCAGGAGTAATAAGGATGGAACTGTAAGCTGACTGTTTGCTCCTAACTCATCTGAGCGCTTTCTTCCTCCATCTCTCCCTCCTTCCTGCCTCACAGCGTCAGCCCTAAAGCCCCGAGAGAGAGCAGGCAGCAGCTCACCATGGTAGCTACACTCCAGCTCTTTCTCTTAAAAACATTTTTTAAATATTTATTTTTATTTTATGTACATTGGTATTTTGCCTGCTTGTATGTCTGTGTGAGGGTATCAGATCCCTCTGGAACTGGAGTTACAGACAGATGTGAGCTGCCATGTGGGTCCTGGGAATTGAACCTGGGTCCTCTGGAAGGCAGCAAGTGCTCCTAACCACTGAGCCATCTCTTCAGTCCCCTTAAAAACATTTTTTAGACATTTATGTGTATATTTGTGTGTGCCTGGTGTCACTGGAGGCTAGAAGACAGTGTCAGATCCCCTAGAACTGCAGTTACGGATGGTTGTGAGCTACCATGTGTGTGCTGGGAATTGACCCCAAGTCCTCCGCAAGAGCATCAAGTGCCCTAATCCACTAAGCCAGCTCTCCGGCCTCCCCTCGTACTCTCTTTAAATAGCGGTTTAAAAACAAGGTGTGTGTATGATTGGGAGGCAGGTGGCTCAGAGGGTAAAAGCCTTGGATTTGTTTGGTGTTTGTTTGGTTTTTGGTTTTTCGAGACAGGGCGGGTGACAAGAGACCCTGTCTGGAAAACCAGAACAACAATAAAAAAAAATGCTAAAACCATTCAAGGCAACCATGTCCTTGGTTATAACAAATCAGGTATAGAACACGACTGGAATAATCAGGAATTTTCTTTCTTCCAGCTTGGCGAGCTCCTGAAGGATTGGCGACGGCTCAATGTGGCGATAACCAGAGCCAAGCACAAACTGATCCTCCTGGGCAGCGTGTCCTCGCTGCGGCGCTTCCCGCCTTTGGAGAGGCTCTTTGACCATCTGAACGCGGAGCAGCTGATATCCTTCTTCATTCCCGGGGCCTGGCGGCTTTGCTGCTGCTGCCGGTCCGTGACTAGAGTGAGTGGAGACTCTTGTGTTCTTCATGGGCGTGTTTCAGAGACCGTTGTGACTCAGGAAAGGGAGCATCTGATAGGGAGTCCCGGTCAGCCACCAGTAACATAACGATGGACCGGGATGGTCTGTGGAGGGAGCGAGGGAGAGGAAAGGGCCAGCCTGCCACTTGGAACCAGTGTCTGCAGAAATGGGCCATCCCTCCTGGTTCTGTCGCCCCAGGTATTTCTTGTTGATACAAGGCAAAGCATTATGCTGTAACTGGATCAGTCAGGCTGGGTGTCGTGGACTAAGATGCCACCTTTAGTCCCAGCACTTGGGAGGCAGAGACACCTGGATCTCTGTGAGTTTAAGGCCAGCCTACATAGTGAATTCCAGGACAGCCAGGGCTCATAGACCTTGTCTCAGAAGAAAAAAAAAGGCAAGACTGGCCTAGAGTCTTGATGAAGTTCCTGTTTCAACCTCCTGCTTGGTTGGTTATAGGCATGCTCCACAATGCCCGGCTTTCCATTATTTTATTTATCTGTCTGTCTGTTTGTTTGTTTGTTTGTTTATTTGAGACAGTCTTTCTCTGAAACCCTGGCCATGGACTCAGATTCTGCCTCTGCCTTTCCAGTGTTGGGATTAAAGCAGTGGTTCTCAACCTGTGGGTCGTGACTCCTTTGGGGCAGGTGGTTGGACGACCCTTTCATGGGGGTCACATATCAGATACCATGCATATCAGATATTTACATTACAATTCATAACAGTAGCAAATTTATAGTTACGAAGTAGCAATGAAAAGTTTTATGGTTGGGGGTCACCACAAACTGTATTAAAGGGTCACAGCGTTAGGAAGGTTGCGAACCACTGGATTAAAGGTATTCAGGACATTCAGCTCCCAGTTCCATCACAAACGGATTATTGTATGAGGAAAAGTCTCAAGTATCCCAGGTTGGCCATGAATTGATAGTAATTGAAAGTGACCTTGAAGTTCTGATCCTTTGGCTGCCACCACCTAACGGGTGGGATTCAGGCACGAGCCTCCCCAGCTGGCTTTCTCCTACTTTTCACACAGATTACTCTCTCCTCCCTCAGTCCCGCCCCGTAGGGTCTCGTGTACCCCAGGTTGTGGTCCAGCTTCCTCTGTAGCGAACAACGATCCTGAGCTCCTGAGTGCTGAGGTTGCAGATGTGCCCTGCAGCCACAGGTGTATTGTCACTGAAGCTGTCTTCCTTAATTTATCTTACATCGTGGACCTTCCGTCAAGGGAGCATGAGAGTCTCTGCCACGTGCTGGGTGATCTTCAAAGAGACTGAACACTACACCCCTGCCTCCAGCGTCGTAGGCCTGGCGTCACCTGATGCAGCTCAGGTTTGCTGGGAATCCACACTTAAACTGCGAGGATGCCTTTAGGCTAAAGGTACAAAGCGAAGTGACTGTGTTCTCTTCAAAGTTCCAGGTTTTTCTTTTCTATTTCTTACTGTAATCTTGTTAAACATGAAATTCTGTCACCGCGTAAAATTTTACTTATTAGTACCAATGTACCCCAAACTGAAAAGTCTAAATCTGTGAGTACTTCAAGTATATCTGTATATGATCGAGAAAAGTGAGATTTTCCCACCTTTAAAGGTGGATTGAAACTTTACCCCAAGGTTGAGATCTCGACAAATGGAATAGAATTTCAGGTCTAATTCCAGAATCAGAGAAGTTCTATTTAAAGATTGGATGGACTGGCTTGTTTGCGTCGCTTGAAGCCGCTCTGTGCTAAGGGGAGCGGGTGTGATTACTCTCTGAATTTTGGGTGTCCTGGTTTCAGTGTCAAATGTGTTTCCCTTTAAGCCTAGTCTTTGAATTACATCCCTGAGTCACGGTGTGCTTCCGGGAAGTTCTTCTTCCTCTTCCCCATGATCATCGTCCCCTCTTGTCCCCTCGTTAACTTTTGGAATGCAGCATTTCAATATTAGAGGAGGATTTGATATAAAACATTTTTTTTGAGAAGGAGTTTTGTTTTCTGAATTGATGCCAGCTTACAAGGTACACCCTGTTTTTATTTGGTTTAGTTATTTCCTTCTATGTACTGATGTTTCGAAAAATAAACTTACATACACGGTGACATTTTCACAAAAGGGTCCCTTCTCCTGGAGGGAAAAGTTTCTACCTCACTTAGTGGAAGTTTAAATATGTTAAATTGTTGGTGCTTCTACCTTTTATATTATTTAAAAATACAATTTAATAAATTGTTTTGTACTGGATAGACTTTACTGAGTCATTCATTAAATGATTTCTGTGTGTGTGTGTGTGTGTGTGTGTGTGTGTGTGAATATATAGATAGATAGGGTCTCATTATCCCAGGTGACCTTGAACTTCTGATTCTCCTGCTTCCACTTCCTAAAGTGCTGGGAATACTGGCGTGTGCCAACATGCCTGGTTTGTGCAGTGGCGGAGATTGAGCCCAGGGCTTTGTACATTTGCATCCCACCAACTGAGCTACCCCTCTGGCCCGAGTGGTGATTAAGCTCGGGTGTCTAGCATTTTTTCCAGTAGTGATAGGTGAAATGTTGCTCATCATGTATCGGTTACTTTTCTCCTGCTGAGATAAAGCACCATGACCAAAGCCACGTGAGGAAGAAAGTTTGGGTTTCCAGTGGGAGAGTCTCCATAATGATGCTGGGGGCATGGCAGCAGGTGAGTGAAGAGTTAACTATCATTGCTTAACATCCTTAGTTAGCTATTGTGAGAGTCGGAAGCCAGAAGTGATCTAAGATAATTTCAGTTCCTGGGAGGAGCTGAACAGAAAGATTTTTAAAGTTTTTTGTTTTTTTTTAATTTTGTGTGTGTGTGTGTGTGTGTGTGTGTGTGTGTGTGTGTGTGTACACATGTGCAGAGGTGCCTTCTGAGCCAGAAGAGGGTGGCAGAGCCCTGGAGCTGGAATTACAGGCTGTTGTGAGCCTCCCAACATGGGTGCTGGGAACCAGACTCAGGTCCTCTGCAAGAGCAGCAGGTGCCTTTAACCACTGAGCCACCTCTCCAGTCCCAATTCCAGTCACTTAGTTATTTGACGGAGTTAAGATGTTTCTGGGCTCTGAGCTTTGGGGTTGGAGTTAAGCCTCCATGAGGTCTTCTATACCCCAACAGTACAGTGTACGTTGGGGGGGGGGGATAGTAAGATGAAATGCCCTTGCAGCAGTCCCATTCCTGGACCTATTTGTAAACAAGGGAAAAGCTCCGGATTGACTGGCTTCACCTGACCCTACCTCTGGCCCCGCCGCCATTACAGGAGCTGCTCCTCCCGAGACTTAGCCCACACAGCCTGATCTAGTTATGGTCTAGACCTGAGAGTCACCCGTTTTGATCTCATCACTCAGAAGGGCCGAGGCAGGAGGATCACAAGTTTGAGGCTGGGCCTGGCATGTCAGACCGCTGATGAGTGGGTCCTGATGCCAGTCCGGTTGGATGGGTTGTTCTTAGATCAGTGCCTCCCAGCCTCTGCTCTTCTCTCCCACCCTCAGTGGGGAAGCCCAAGGCAGCTGTGCCTTTCCCCAGAGCTGCCTTCACAGATTTCAAAGCTGCTCGCCCATCTCCATCTTCGGCTGTCACCCGTGAATACACTTGCAAATTGATGATTTCGGTGATTGTCAGATAAAAGTGACCTGGTTTGGGAACGGGTTAAGAGTTTTGGCCTCTGGTGTTTCCCCATTCTCCCTCACTTTAACGGCAGGTTTCTAGAAGAGGCTGCTGAGAGCTTTTTTTTTTTTTTTTTTTTTTCTTTTTTTTTCAAGACAGGGTTTCTCTGTGTAGCTTTGCGCCTTTCCTGGAACTCACTTGGTAGACCAGGCTGGCCTCGAACTCACAGAGATCCAGCTGCCTCTGCCTCCCGAGTGCTGGGATTATTTTTTTTTTTTTTTGGTTCCATGAGACAGGGTTTCTCTCTGTAGCTTTGGTGCCTGTCCTGGATCTTGCTCTGTAGACCAGGCTGGCCTCGAACTCACAGAGATCCGCCTGGCTCTGCCTCCTGAGTGCTGGGATTAAAGGTATGCGCCACCACCGCCGGGCGAGCTTTTTTTTTTTTTTTTTTTTTAGTCAGGGTCTAGCCTCAAACTGAGGTTGACCTTAACCTATTTTCACCTGAGAGCTGGGATTTCAAATAGACACTACACATAGTCACAGATTATGCAATGCTGGGGAATGAACCCTGAGTTTCATGCATATTAGACAAACACTACCAACTGACCTATATCCCCAATCTCTCGCAACCCTGTGTGTCCTCCAGGTTCTCCTTTATGGCTCTAGTATATTCTGTATTATTTATTTACTTACTGAGAAAAGATCTGGTTATGTATGGCCATGGCTAGGCCTGAACTTACTGTGCAGACCAAGCTGGCCCCAAACTTGGCAAAAATGTTTGCCTCCCAAATGCTGGGATTACAGCCATGTGCTGCCATGCCTAAATGCTCTCCTGCTCCTACATAATAAATGTGTAGTTAATTTTACTTGCTTTTCTGGAAGGATTTAGACTATAGATCCTTTTTACTCATTTATAGAAAGAAAAAGCGAATAAGGCAGTTGTATTTCAGTTTTTTAAAAAATTGTTTTTATGTGCACAGGTATTTTGCTTGTATGTTTGTGTACAACATGTATGCCTGGTGCTGGGCTGGCACACAGAAGAAAGAGGTCATGGGACCCACTGAGACTGGAGTTACAGACAGTGACCTGCCATGTAACAGGTGGATCCCATGACCTCTTCTGGCTTACCCAGGCACCAGACACACATGTGTAGATGAATTTCTAAACAGTCCTATTAAATAAGAAACACAGAGCCAAATACAGAGGTGACAGCCGAAGAGATCAGAGGGAATAGCCACGACTAGCCTTAGCTTAACCACCATGCAGTGGCTGATCTCCAGACAAACTTTTATTAACATACAAATAAAATACCACATTTCAGCACAAATAAAATATCACCACACACATGTGATGCACAGACGTGCACGCCAACAAAACACCTATACATGTAAAAAGTGAACGCTAAGCCAGGGCTGTCACGATGGTTCAGTGGGTAAAGGCAAGTCTGCTAACCTCAGTTAAGATTCCTGGAGTGTGCATGGTCGAAGAAGAACCAACTCCTGAAGGTTGCCTTCGGACCTCCGGGGGGCCCCCCAAATAAATGGATAAAATGTCATTTTTTAAAAAGACAGACCAGAGGACAATGACACACGTACCCGACACCAGGCTACTATGGAATATTAAATCTAAGCGAGTAAGGAAAAGATCAAAGACTTGAACACGGTCCTCACAAGTCACGAACTGTAAATAAGGCCCAACCACGAGGAAAGGTGGTCCCCATAGTAACATGAGTACAGAATAAGACCAAGATAGCCAGAAGACAGTAATAAAACAACAAGGAAATTCTCACTTCACACATTCCAAGACAGCAGCCAAAGTGACACATGGCTGGTCGGACTGGGTTTCTGGGTTTGTTTGTGTCACGGTGTGGTCGGTCAAGTCCAGCACAGCACGTGCCCCTGGGCCGCATCTCGAGACCCTCTAGTGGAAATTTTGAGAAATTTTAGAGAACAGGGTTGGCTTTATTCAAGTAAATTTAAAGTAAGGTAGCCCTGGCCGGGCCGTAGTGGCACACACCTTTAATCAATCCTAGTGTGAGGACGTGATAGCCAGTCCTAACCGGATTGGCCTCCCCAGAAATGAGCTACTCTCTCCCAGTCATTAGGGTGCTCAGACCTGAGTAATAATTTACACAGGCCCCGTGATTAAAGAAACTTAATATGGAACCAGGAATCCCTTAAGGGCCGTTGACCTTTTGCTCTGGAATGCCAGGGAGAGCCTAGTGGCCTGCAGGTGAGGTAAGAATGGGAGAGTGGGCTGTGAGGTTTGAACAGCCGGCTTGCTTCTGTAAAATCTGTTTACCGCTATGGGAAAGGGGTGGAATGTTCTTTTTCTCACTATGTGTCGGGGAAGCAGTTTTCCTGCCCCGCTGTGGGTTGCATGGATTGTTTGTTTGTCTAGACAGGGTTTCTCTGTATATCCCTGGCTGTCCTGGTGACTCTTATCTGTGCAGTCACTGGGGAGGGTCGAGGTCGAGTCATCATCCGTACAGTTGTTTCAAGCTCACCCACACGTCTTTCCATGGCTCACTGATTCTCCAGGGTGAATGGTTCTAATCACCGGTGGAAGCGTACCTCCGTTTGTCCTGGGATTTTAGGAGGATTGGTTAGACATTGTTTACGCCTCCCCCAGGAAAGGAATTTTAGCAACAAACACTCCATGTTATCTTGCTTCCACCTCCTAAGAGTTGGTATTTACAGGTCCACCACACCCTTCTACAAAATATTACATTTTGTTATGTGGACCGGGTCTTTCTAGGTAGCCTTGGATGACGTGGCACTTGCTAGGTAGTTTAGAGTAACCTTGACTTTCCAGCAATCCTCCGGCCTCCGCCTCCTGCATGAGTGCTGGGATTAGCAGGGTGCACCACTGCACCCGGACTTTAGTGGAGTTCTTGCTTTTTAAAACGGTCTTGTGTTTGAGACGAGGCTGGTTTCAAACCCATTAGGTACCGGAGCCTGATCTTCAACGACCGATCATCCTTTTAACTCCCATCTCGCAAATGCTGAGATTCCAGCTCCCGTCTCTGTTAATTGGCCTGAGGTTTTCTAAAATCTGTCGGCCCACTCCGGGTTTGTCAAGATCAAAGGGAGCGGCCCGGCGCGTTCCATTAAACCCGCCCAGCCTGCGTGAAGAAAACGTTTGCAGGTGGCTTGAGGCCCCTTCTCCATCCACTTTTGGCGCTGTGCTGCGAGCCGAGCCCCGCTAGGTCCCCGCCACGCTTTCCCTGAAAGCCCTCGAAGGATCGGCGGGGACCCGATCGCGCGGCCGGCCGTGGCGTCCTCCCGCCGCCGGGGGCGCTGTGGCCGCACCGAACCGGGTCAGACGCGGTGGCCGCCGCGCGCCTGCGGGGAGCTCGCTGCTGACCCGCCCCGCCAGCCCGTGTCCCACAACGCACCGTCGCCATGGGTAAGGACAGCAGCCGCGGGGGTCACCATCCACCGCCGGGGCCGTGCAATCAGCGGGAGTTAAAGGCGGGGGGGGGGGGCTCCCGGCGTCGCCATGGCAACGCGCGCCCGCCCGCATCCCTGCGCCCCGCCCGGCCTGGGGCCTGGCTGCTGGGGGCCAATGGACGGGCGGGGACCGCGTCGCCCGGGGACAGAGATGGCTCCCACAGTCTCGCGGGTGGCGCAC